AGAGCGCCGTCGGGAACATGCCGGTGATGCGGTTGTACTGTTCCCGAGAGATAGTGTTTCCAACTCCAGCATGTTCACCACATAGCTCGGGAAATTGCCGACGAGGTTGCACTGGTCTGCGTAGAGGTTGAATAGGTTGGTCAGGTTCTTGAACGACACCGGTAGCTCGCCTGCATCAAATGGGTTGTATGCCAGCCACAACCTACGAAGGCTCGTCAGTTCGCCAAGCTCTGCAGGGATAGCGCCGGTGAGGCGGTTGTGGTCTCGAAGCCTTGACAGAGACGATGGATGCTGCCCTTGAACTCATTGAAACCGAGGTCCAGAAGGCTGAGGTTCGCCCCGAGGCCCCAGCCAATGTCATCGGGGATGTAGTTTAAGGATAGGTTGACGAACCGGAGAGACTTGCAGTGGTAGAGCGCCGTCGGGAACGCGCCAGTTATGATGTTGTGGGAGACGTCGAGGAGTGCGAGGCTGGAGAGACCGCCAATGGCGTCCGGGACAGGGCCCCTGAGGTCGATGCTGGCGAGGGCGAGGGCCGTGACGCGCCCGGCCGTGTCGCACTCCACGTATGGCCGGCGGCAGTGCGCGCCTGAGGCCGCCGACGCGGAGCTCCATGCTGCGAGCGCGGGTGGGTCACCCCATTCGTGCTTGATCTGGAGGAAGAGGAGCTCCCCATCGCTCACCGGCGAGGAGGACTGCGCGGCCGCGCGGTGGTGCAGGAGGCATGCTGCTAGCACAAGCAAGAGGCAGCTTGCACACACGCGGCGAGGTGTTGCCATGTCTTGGCTGCGGTGGAGAGTGGAGGCGGCGGTGGGAATTACATTAACTGAGAGGCCGGGGGCGCTCGTTCCGTAGCTGAAGCGGGTGGGAGTTGATTGAGAACAGTGAAGTCAACACACAGCAACTTTGAACGTTGCCCGTGGCCCAACGGCAATCACGGTCACCGTGCATATAGTAGTACTTTCATTCGAAAGAAAAGATGAGCGATAGGGTTGAGGTTTGAGTTTTAGAAAATATAAGATAACATATTTAGATGGGCTTCACGTCGAATTTGAGTCAGAGCACGAATTCAATCTAATTTTTATTCTCGGAGAAAACCATTTTGTTTTAAAAGCGTGATGCTATGTCATGTCTTTGACTTTGTCAAAACGATAACAAGAGAGTTTTATTTGCACAAGTTTCTGAGTTGGAAAACCGAAGTTGGGAGAGGAGAAAGGTTTGGCTTATGTTTGACCTGATATTACATGCAACACGCAAGCATACAAACAGCGTGTTCGTTTCGGCTAAAATGATCGTGGATTATAAGCTAAAAGTACTGCTGGTTGATTTGGTGTGAGAGAAAAATACCGTTCTAACTTATAATCTACTATAAGCCGAAACGAACAGGCTGAAAAGTTCTAAAAAGATTGGGATTTTTGTCATTACAAACATCTAGGATGTACGTCGTAACAATCCCATAGGTACGTTGGATTGTCCGTCTGATCACTCAGTGGTGGGATTTGGTTCTGCAGAAGGGTTGAAGTGTTGACGGTCCATCCATCAGTACCGATGAACTGTCCAGCTAGACGTGCCACAAAAGTTCCCTCTTTGGAACGAAGATAAACACGGTTGGACTGTTCGACTGGCTCGTCGGACCGTCCAATGATTAAGTTGGACCATCGGCTTGTGCATGCAGTGATGTAAGGCTAGTTTCAGTGGGAGTTTTATTTGAGTTTCATTTGTATTCAATGTGTTGCCACGTAGTTATTTTTATGATATGGCAGTGTATTTAAGAAGAGAGAGAAGGAATTGGTTTCATCTAGATGAAACTCTCTTGGCACGAATACTAACTCTCTATGAATCATGAAATTAAATGTCTATAAAACTATAGAATGAAACTCTCCATTGAGAGTGGGTGTTTCATCCGAGTTTTATTTCATTTCATATGACACGGTAGTCTTGGAAACAATGCCATGAAACTCCCCACTGAGGCTAGCCTAAGCCTAGTGTCAGTGGAGAGTTTCCTAGCGTTGTTTCCAAGAATGCCACATCAAATAAGATGCAATGAAACTTGAATAAAACAACCACTCTCAATGCATAGTTTCATTCTATAGTTTCATAAATATTTAATTCCATGACTCATTCCGAGTTGGTAACTGTGCCAGGAGAGTTTCATCCCCATGAAACTCATTTATTCTCTCTCTTCTTAAATATGGTGCCACATCATTAAAAATGCCCACATGGCAGCTTATTAAATCCGGATGAAACTTCAATTGAGACTGACCTAAGGCCAAATCGGCTAATTGTTGTTCTCACCCTCCATGTCCTCAGGCCAAACCCTTCTCCTTCTTCACCAAATGCAATGGGATGAGAGAACTCCTTGGTCTCCTCTAGCAATGGTGATGACTTGGTGCTTGTAAAAAGGCCTTCCTCCCTTCTCCGATCTCTTTTCCTCTGGGCCTCCTCTGATCCTCTTCCTCCCTTCTCTTTTCCTCCTCTTCCTTGGAGTTCTTGGAGTGGTGCTAGAGAGAGGGGGGGCGGAGGACACGGAGGGCGAGTGATGATTATTCTTAGTGTTGTGCTTTGCTCATGGAGTCCTTGCCACGTCATCCGCAACCGAGTAAAGATGACCAAGCAGCCACGCCGCCCAAAGATGAGCCCGTGCGCTGTGCATGGCCCAACACGACACGGCGTGTCTTTGCCGGGTCATGCCTCTCTAGGCTTCGTGCACAGCCAACGGCCGTGCGCGGCCCTGACGGGCTATTTTTTCGTGCTGGCTGGCCCAAAAGCCCATCCTTTTTAGCAGGCCGGGCCGGCCCGAGGCCCACCAGAAGAGAGCCAGAGAGAGTGGGGAAGGGGACATAGCCGGATGTGGGAGGTGGCGGTGGCCGCCCTGCCGGCGCGCTCGCAGCTCGTGCCAAGGTGCTCGGGTCTGGATCCACGGCGGTAGACAACGAGCTAGACAATGCGGCGCTCGTCCGAGATCCAGCCATGGAGGAGGTTGACGTCGCTGCAGTCAAGGCCGGCGCGGTGGAGCCGTGGAGGAGGTCGGGCGCGAGCCGTGGGGGGCCGTGCTCGTCTACCGCCGTATGCCGGGGGTGTGGAGGGTGGAGCAGAGAGGGAGGACGCTGGCGGTGCTGGCCTGCTAGGGCCGTGGAGCCGAGAGGGAGTGCCGCCGCCTTCCACGGTGGAGCGTGGCAAGGAGGAGGGAGGAGGAGCCGCGGAGCCCTTGACCTCGGAAGAGCGAGCGGACTCGCGGTCTTCGTGCGGCACAGCCACACGAGGGTAGGGTGTAGCCTGGTGGGAAATGGAGTTAGGTTAGGATAGGAAAGGGGTGGGCTGTTAGCAGGCCGCCAGGCTTCGGTAATGACCGGGACGACACCGGGCCTTCCCCTAAATGGTGGGCCGTGCCGTGCTAGCCCACGTGCCTGAGTAGCGGCCTAGGCACGGCCCTGTGCATCGGGCCGGGCTGGCCCAGGCCCGCACAACACCGGGCCATGCTGTGTTTGGTCTGGGCCAAAGAAATCATGCTTCAGGTCGGGCCACCGGGCTGCGGGCTGCATGGGATGGGCAGCATGACAGCTCAAAACTGCATGTTTTGTGCTCTAGCAGACTGGTGTCCCTGCTATCTGTATGAGTACGACTTAGACTGGTTGACATATTAGATGCCAGACTATTAGGCACTACACATCATTGTCGAACTTAATAATTTTAAGATATAATTTCAGCATTAAGCTTTTATGATGCTTATGATCCTGATGATGTATGATTTTCAGAATGCAATGCTGGATCATTATAGGAATTTTCACCAAATTTTTTAGAGACTTCAGTAGGAGGTATGATTTTCTAAAATTTTTAGATCTCAACAAAATATATTAGCAAGATTTATGACTAATTGACTACACATCTATTGCAGTTGTCATCTTAGTCTTTGTTTATAGTGAGCATATGCCCTTTTTTAGTTCGCGAAATTTGTATTTTGGGGCTACTGTAGCACCTTCATTTTTATTTGGCAAATAGTGTTCAAACATGGACTAATTAGGCTCAAAACGTTCGTCTCGCAATTTCCCACCAAACTGTGCAATTAGTTTTTCTTTTCGTCTACATTTAATGCTCCATGCACGGGCCGCAAACATTCGATGTGACAGGTACTGTAGCAACTTTTTGAAAGTTGGGGTGTAACTAAACAAGGCGTATATACGTTTCGTATGGCAGCCTCCTCTGTATTTAACTTATCTCTTCTATGTCAATCTTTGATTTGAATTTCTAAGTATGTGTCCATCCTTTTACTGTGCTCGATTTGTATGAACAAGCAATGTTTGTAATATACACCTCATGATAATATCACGTACAGAACATACATCAGATCCATAACTATGACACGTATTCATGTATGACTCTATACGTGGAATCTATCACGTCTCAATCAAGTAATAATATGCATACATGTCTAACCACGTGTGTGATAAAACGTTCAAAAAACAAAGATTTTTGAAAGCTCCTTAGCAGCTTACGTCACGTGAAGAAATCGATCATCTCGCACTGACTAGCTTGTGATAATGTCGCGCATCTTACAGCTTCATCACGTTGATCACAAGTTATATCATTTATGGAAGGTAAGATTTAATAGAAAGATAATTTTTTTTCTAAATAGAAAATATATATTTCTTCTATTATCTCCTAGGAGGTAATACTTTCAGGTTAATGACCCATAATTATTTTGGAATACCAATTAGAACTAGTGAAAAATGAAAACAAACATTTGGCATCAGGATGGGTTTGATTGCTGAACGCGAATTCAAACAGGGAATCAGCTTTTTTTAGCTTAGGATATGTTTCCAACGATGTGATCATATACCATTACATACATGAATCACACTTATGTTCTTGCTCATTGCCTCCATGACAGTACTGCCCATATGATTTTATAATGTTATCGTTTACATTGCCTTTTTCTTTTAACAAACACTACCTTAGAAGCATCATGAGCTACTCGATTCCTGCAAGCTATCACAAGCTACTCAATCCACGTGTATCAGGATGGATTGAGATGCAGGGATGGTGCCGTAGAATCCGTTGTAGCGGAGGTCCAGCGTCCTCAGGTTCGCCCCTAGGCCACGGCCGATGTCTTCCGGGAGCTCCCCAACGATTAAGTTTTGGGAGAGGTTAAGGTACCGGAGCAAGCCGCAGCGGTAGAGCGCCATCGGGAATGTGCCGGCGGTGACGATGTTGCTGGAGGCGTCGAGGTGAGCGAGGCTGGAGAGGCCGCCCACGGCGTCTGGGACAGGCCCAGTGATGTTGCCCTGTTCACTGAACTTATCACCTGGCTTATCAATCGTACTTCAGCTTATTCTCTCTCACGGAACACTATTTAATCATCCGAAATCAGCCATGAAACGTACCAGCCAAACAACACCGTTGGTTCTGGCGAGGGCGAGGCTGGTGACGTGGCCAGCAGAGTCGCACCCCACGTATGGCCAGCGGCAGTGTGCGTCCGCCACTGACGAGGTGGTGCTCCATGCCGCGAGCTCCAGCCGGTCGGCCCATGCACGCTTGATCTGGAGGAGAACCTCCGCCTCGCTCGCCGACCAGGACGGCGCCGCCCGCCACACGCTCCAGGAGGCAGCAGGTTAGATTTTTTTTTAATTTTAACAATTTTTTAAAAACTAATTTTAAATCTAACACTGTCTGTTTTTTTAAACTAACACTTTTGGCCGCGCCTATTGCCATGGCGCGGCCAAAATCCCCAAAAGCCTGTACCGCGCCATGCATGTTGGCGCGGCAGCGGACTGACGTGGCGACGACCGAAATCGTTGACTGGTGACGTGGCTGGGCTTGCCGCGCCACCGATCTTGGCGCGGCAGTGTTGCGCGCCCGATCCGTGGCGGCGGCAGAGCGAATAAAACCCATGGCCAGTCCCAGCTGCCGGGCAGCAAAGCCCCGCCGCCGCCGCCACGCCCGCGTCCGCGTCGCCCGCCACCCACGGCCGAAACACGCCCTGCCCGCCCGCGCCAGTATCGCGCTTCGCGCCGCGTGGCCTACTCAGCCGCGCCATACGCCACAGCCAGCTGAAAGACGCGGCCGCCAACGCCATTTAACGCCGGCAGACGGCACGCACGGGCGGCGGCCGCCGCCGGCCGTGTGCGCACGCCACTTTTCACCCGCCTTACCACGACACGCGGCGGCTGCCGTCGAGGCCTCGCGAAGGCTCAGCCCGCGTCTCGGCCGGTCTAGCTAGCGCCACCACCACCGAGGATGGCGGCACACATGAGGTACTCCCCTCACGTAGTTAGTATAGTTAATAAAGTTAGTAAAATTAGTAAAGTATAGTTAGTATAGTTAATAAAGTTAGTTAGTTTAGTTAGTATAGGTAATATTGTAAGTTAGTATAGATAATAAAGTTAGGTAGTTTAGTTAGTACAGTTATTGAGTCTAGTTATACATTGGATTTAGTCTGATTAGTTGTTGTAGTTAGCCTTATATAGATGTTAATATTAGATTAGTTAGTATAGTTATAGTTAGAATATGTATTAATATTACTATGGACATTACGTCCGACGAATTCAATGACTTGATGAAGTTTGTTGAAATGCTTTTGCAGATGGATTGTTGTGTTAGAGTTTTATACGGAGGAAGTGTTAGGAGAGAAGATGGTATGTTTGAGGATATGGAAGAAGAATTGAAATGGTTTGATGAACCTCCTAACTTCAACGACCTCTGTGTCCGTTTGAATGCAAAGTTTGACGATGATTTCACACAAAAGGGGAGGTTTGATACTGGGAAGACTAGGGCACACTATGTCCTCATGCCCTTGCGCGACCCTGCTCACTGGTCCCGCTACACTAGGGTTCTCCAAGGTTCCAATATGCCCATGGCTGAGGTGGTGGTGAAGAATGGATACATGATACAGGGTGTTCAGGATGGCCCGTCCATTGATAGTTTTGGAGGCAATGAACAAGAATTAGGGGTTGAAGGGGACGCAACTCAGGATAACATGGATTTGGATGGTCAATTGATGCAGGAGCAGTTTCATTCAACTGTAGTAGGCTGTATAAGCAATGACTTCGATGTGAATGAGTTCGAACGGAAAGAGGAGGAGCAGGAGGAGGACAGGATCGGTGATATAGTTAGCAGTGATTCAGACGATTCTAATGATGACCAAGGAGGTACAGATGCTATGCCAACACCAACTGATGTCATGCCAGTACCGGTTCATACTATGCCATTACCAGTACCAATTGTGGTTTTGCATGGTGTCCAGGCTCAGGGTAGACTAGTCATAGATTTGGCTACAGATGATACCCCCTATGATTCATGGGCCAGAATTAGCGAAGCGCAGCATTATGTTCCACCACCACCTTACACAACGACTGAGCTTGAGCAACTAAGGTCCAAGAACGTACCTTTCATGGGCGTTCCAAACTATAGGGATGTTAGCATGACGGATATGGCAGTTTGTGACACCGGTCTCTAGATGTGTAGGAAATCATTGTATGACCACGAGAAAGAAACCCTTAGGAAGGGGATGATATTCAACACAATATCAGAGATGAAACTCTTCCTTCAAGACTATGCTGTGTACCACCATAGGCCGTACACCGTCACTTATTCGGACCAGGAGTTGAGGTACCACGTGATATGCAAAAACGGCAAAAGAGACAGAGTGATGGCAAGTGGAGGATAACTAAAGTTGTCGAACCCCACACTTGCCTAGACAATAGGGGAAAGGAAAATCATCAGCAGCTCACTGCATGTTACCTTGCCCGTCGTATATTGGGGCTTATTGATGACAATAACGACATTTCGGTGTCTTCTTTACAACAGTCCATATCTGGATTCGTTAAGTACGATGTGACGTACGAAAAGGCTTGGCGTGCCAAGCAAATTGCTCTGGCGATTCGATAGGGTAGTTGGGAGAAAGCGTACAACAGGGTGCCCCGTATCTTATGTGCAATGCATTACTACAACCCTAGCTTGAAATGGTTTGTGGACACCAGAGGGATGTGTTTTCAGGACCTATTGAGGCATGTCCTCTATCGTGTGTTCTGGTCGTTCGCGCAAACAGAACATGCATTCCAGTTTTATCGGCCAGTCGTACTTGTTGATGGCACTTTCCTGACAGGAAAGTACAGGGGCACCTTGATGGTGGCTGCTGCTGTTGATCCTGAGGACCAGATAGTACCCATGTCTTTTGCTTTGGCAGAGGGAGAGAACAATGAATCATGGTCATGGTTCATGCGGCTTCTACATGTACAAGTGCTTGGCCCATCTCGCACTATATGTTTGATCTCAGACCGTCACGCAGGGCTTCTTAATGCTGCAGCTGAGCATATAGATGTGTTCCCGCCTCTAGTACATAGATGGTGCATGAGACACTTTGCCGCTAATTTCTAGCGACGTCAACGGAAGCAGGAGGTATGTGATAAGGTAAAGGCTCTATGTTGTGTACGTACAGAGCACCAGTTCAAGGAGACAAAGAGAGAACTAGACAAGATGGTAAATAAAGCGGAAAAGGCCTGGTTAGAGGCGTAGATGGAACAGAAGGCTCAGTGGGTGTTAGCATATGACGAGGGGGGTTTCAAGTATGGCATCATGACCACTAACTCCTCGGAGTCCTTCAACCATGTATTCACTGGAGTTCGATCGTTGCCTGTGTCTGGAATTGTTGAGTTCTCCTTTCATAAGTGCAACGAATATTTTGTGAAGAGGTGGGAACTTGCGTAGAAGAATATAGCTGAGCAGGGGCATTTTGGACAGAGCTGAACATTTGAAGGAGGCCGAGGAATTGGCCAAGCAGCACATCGCCGAGCTGTATGGACCCCGCCACCATATCTATAGTGTACGGGGCAAGGGTGGCACAAGCTTGGGCGGCAAACGTTATGGTGGACAAAACTACCGAGTTGATCTTGAAAAGGTAGAGTGCAGTTGCAACGTCTCTCAGATCATGCATGCCCCTTACTCTCATATGATCACGGCCTGTAGGGTTCGCGGGTACAACTATGAGGATCTGCCATATATGTCACCCTTGTATCTCTGTGGGGGTATGGCCCCCGGTATCCACAAGACAAGACATGTGCCACACCATCAGAGGTGGCCCAGCCCACAAGATCAAGACGTGCACGGCGCTGCTCGGCGTGCACCGCAAACTATTGTATAGTACCAAATAGGATACTTTCCTTGTAACCCAACCCCTCTAGAGTATATAAGGAGAGGCAGGGGTCCCCTAGCGGACACGACCTACAAACGACCTACAGATGATCTATTTACTATAGATCAATACAATACACCAAAGACACAGGACGTAGCGTATTACGTCGATCAGACCGCCCGAACCTGTCTAAATCGCTGTCTCCGCGCCTTGTGTCACCATCCGGTTCCTGATTACGCGCACCCCCACTGACAAATCTACCATCGCGGGATACCCCTCGGTGGATTGTCGAGCATCTTTTGTCGACAATCTCCGTTCGAACACCGTTAGTATTTGGGAGATGAGCTTTGAGCCATACCTTGACCCCACACAGTGGCCACCTTATAATGGTTATAACTACGCGCCGCATCCGGATCTAATGAAAGTAGGGAAGAGTAGGAGAAAGAAGAAGCGACTCAAGGGGAACATGGACGCTATGAGAGGGTACGACAAAGACATGTACGGCGAGGGAGACTTCAACGAGACCCGTGGTAGGAATCTTTGCTCTGTTTGCAAACAATCTGGTCACAAGGCTAGCAGGCATAGAAGACGAGGGCAGCATGTGCTTTCATATTGTGTTCGTATTGCATAACAAGTAGTTCAAATTTTGCAATGCTACATAATGTTAATCTAAATATTGTTAATTTAAATACTCTAACCCTTTGTTTATCAATTTGTAACAGGATGGCCCATCCCACGCTGCACCAGATGTACCCCCTTCTTGAGGTGGAGTACAATGACCCCCTTCTTCCACCGAACGACGAGGTTTCCGAGAGGCGTTCGAGGGATCTTTACATTCCTAGGACTTAGTTCGTTACGTTGAACTTATGTCGAACGAATATTGTCGTCGAAAACTTGTAGAATCATAAACCAATGAAAATGTTATGTGGCAACTTATCGTCCATTTATTGCTTCATATTCGTTTCAACTTGCGCACGGTCGCGGCAACACTTGTAGTTTTTTACAGCACCGACAACAGCTCAATTGAGGCTGGTCGGTTTCTGCCCGTGTCACTGC